ACACGAGTTAAACCACGGTTAAGTGGCGCTGAAGTAGAGAAAACAAGAAAAATTGCCAATGTAAGAATTCATGTAAAAGAGTTATTGGTAGTGTCCGTCAAAAATACATGATACTCAGCAGCACTATTCCCATTTATTACCTAATGACAAAGAAAAATGAAACAGATACATTCCTTTACAAGCTTGTTCATGTTTTTTTATGCACTTACCAACACGTGTCCATCAGTTGTTCCATCTGAGTGAAGGTTACTTATATCTTGTGAGACTTACAAAAGATGAAAAACATAAATGAAAGGTCAAGTGTGTTTTTGATGTTGGCACATTTAGCATTCGGGAATACACCCACCTTTACATGTTCAATGGCAACTAGAGCCACATTGTATTTTGCATCTGATAGAGATTACAGCATTGTCGGTTAATAATATGTTTCTAACATTACCATGATCAATGTTGTTCACTTCAATTTTTAAAAAGGTATTATTTGATAACTTCATCATTAATGAAATACACAATGCCATTTTAGAAAGTGGTCAAATGTAACATATGTTATATTTGGGATTACACTTTCTCAGTAAAGTACAGATTCTAGTAATTTCTTGGGCTGAGTCCCATCCGGTATTCGAACCCACACCCTCAGAGTCAGGCACCTAATCGCCAGCACACACGCTGAGCGGTCTAGGCGTCTGACTTTGTGTGCTGGCGATTAGGTGCCTGACTCTGAGGGTGTGGGTTCGAATACCGGATGGGACTCAACCAAAAAAGGACTAAAATGTGTACTTTACTGAGAAAGTGTAATCCCAAATATAACATATGTTTCATCATTAATGATCATAAATGTGTTCAGTTTGAATTAATTTTGTAAAGTCACTGGCAAGGAGGGCTAGTTAAGCACAAATGGCGCTTGCCCACATCATACTTCACCGGCAAAATATCAATATCAAAATGCACATTGGTCAGATTTGGTGTTATGTTTGGTAATTACAGATGGCAGGTTATTGTCGACCCTTTGAAGTAATGGTTCCTAACTTCTCTTGCGCAATGCTGTTAACATTTTCTATATAGTGATATATAATAAATATCACTAAACTTTTGAGGACAGACTTTTAACACCTTCATAAATGACTTCATCATATTCATGTGCATTAAACAATGAACAAATTATCTGAGATTTTCAACTGGCCAGTTGGGATAGCTTTAACAGTATATTACTGGCCCAATTCACCATCAGATTTGGCTAGCAGGCAAGTAGCTATTTCAAACACTGTGATGTGTTGTCAGTATTCAAGCAGATCTTATGTCACAAAATGATTTGTCAGTGAAATCACATCATATTCAATTGGCTTTACTGATGTTTTGCTTCACACAATAATTCAGCTGCATAATTATCCCATCAACTGTTTGACCAATGTCACAAATCAATGGAAAATATTTCATACACAAGACTATGACTTACTGTTCAAATGTACAATCTGTCAGTTATAGTAATAAATGTATTCTTAACATGCTGAATCATTATCTGTGATTGCTTTAGGTCTATGTTGGCCTTCGTGTAGTGCCAACAAAATATGACATCAATATCATTTCGAGAACAAGTTCAATAAAGAGGTGGTGTGTCATCACAGACACAGAACAAGTTGCTTGGTATCAGCGAGACTTGAGACACATTATCTAAAGTTACACTGATAAGATATTGTTCATGAAACTCTTCACTATTGTGTTTCCGCTTCTTTCTTCTGTTATTTGCTGAACAGTGTGTACCATTTGTTGAACAGTGTTTACAAAACCATTTCCTGGCTTTGGTACAAAACACTTCCTTATCAACACTTTTTTGCGCACATGTGTTCAGGAAGTGTCGTGCAACAATCTCTGGTAGAATAACGTATGTGAAGAACTGCATTGCATGATCAGCTACTGGTTTCCAGAATGCCATACAAGGTGTAATTCTTTCCACAAATATATCATTGTTTGTCCAAACAACAAAGTCACAGTAATCATGATTAGTTACAAATAGCTGTGTTTGCACCTGGTAATAATACTGACTGTCCCTTTTTAATTGCAGTGACCCATTAATCTCCTCTAGGTAAACTATATTATTATCAACAAAGTCATCCTTTGCACAGAGTGGACACTTAATATCAAGACAGCTCCTTCCACAACAGCCACAGTCAGCAATACCATCAGGAGTTGCCCCAAGATGTGGATACTCACAGCTGAGGAATAAGCCACATTCCTCAACACTGAAGTCATGGTGACGCTCAGAAGACAATTTCTCATATGTGTCTCTAGCTGTTACTTCATGGCTACATCCCCATCTGTATTAGAAAACTTGACCTCAGTCGGAGAACAGATGAGGCGAAGTAAACTCCTCGAAGGGTCAGGCAGTGATGTACGATTGACACTCTTCATCTTTGATGCTGTTATACGGCCAGCCCTGAACTGAAACCAAACTGGGGAACACGCTTGGTTTCTTGTTGCTGCTTCAACTGCTGAAACCTCCTCTGCTGTAATGTTTAGTTGATTTATAATGTTGTGACAGTGTAGTAAAACATCATTGCATGGGATGCCAACCATACTTCATCAAACAGCTCAGTGATCACTTAAGGAAACTGTGGTTGTAATGGCACAGGTACATACTGATCAGTGTAATCACCATGAACCGCAATACAAGATGGTTTATCTAAATTAATAGTGTGAGGGAAATTTTCAAAATTGACGGTAGATGCAAGTTTTAATTCCTTGATATGTTTAGCACTTGATGAAGTCGAACATGTTGTAGAACCCTCAATTAGCAGGTCAAGTTTCTTTTTCAAAGTCTTTGATGAGGTGAAATCAGTCTTTCTTAGACACGCATATACTGGGAGTTTCCAGTATGCAGGTTGCTGTGTGACAATGGCGGTTTCTTTTAATCTCACAATAGCTTCTACAGCAAACATCATACTTGCCACATGTGAGCATGATTGACGCCATACAGTTACAATGAGCTGATAAAAATTGGCTTATTCCCTCACGTTAGAGTAGTTCTCTGAACCTGTGTCACTTGTACTTTAGCTTATCATGCCGCGTAGGTGATGGTAAAAGGACTGTTTCCTGTAGTTACAATGCGAGTGATTTTGTTCCGTTATCAGAGTGTGAATCTTGCCTTGAGTCCTGCCGATGGCTAGCACCCTGCCGATGTCAGATACAGGGAGTACAGGATGCAACACCTGGCTCGAAGACCAACCTTCAAGTCCAACATAGTGGATATGTTCAAGCAGTGAAACAACTACACGAGGACCAACCTTCAAGTCCAACACAGTGGATATGTTCAAGCAGTGAAACAACTACACGAGGACCAACCTTCAAGTCCAACATAGTGGATATGTTCAAGCAGTGAAACAACTACACGAGGACCAACCTTCAAGTCCAACATAGTGGATATGTTCAAGCAGTGAAACAACTACACGAGGACCAACCTTCAAGTCCAACATAGTGGATATGTTTAAGCAGTGAAACAACTACACGAGGACCAACCTTCAAGTCCAACATAGAGGATATGTTCAAGCAGTGAAACAACATAAACGTTTGAAGCTATACAGGGAAGCCCCAGGTTTATCTAGATTCATCCGGACGCTGTTAGGAAAACTGAAATGTCACTGTGTATATTTAGTAATGGTTCATTCTTGATTATCAGTATAAATAGACTTTGTGTTTCCGACAAAGTTCGGAAACACAATACCAGTCGCATGTAAAGCACTGTTGGTTTGTTATTTCTGTCACCTTGTGCTTCAACTCAGAGTTCACTTTGTCAGGTCATTGTCTAATTGTGGCTGTTCCCAATATCATACTCACCTTTGTAGTAGATATGATCAGAGAATTTCATTGCTTCAGGTTGTTCATCTGACTTCCATCTAACTTCCCAGACCACTCTCACTGATATTTATGGCTTATGTGTTTCATTGTGTGAAGAGTGAATATGGGACCGCTTGTCCATTTGTACTATCAAGACGCGTTTAAAAGTAAATAAGACACTATTATTAATAGGGCTGCTGCATATAATTGGTTTACTGGTATTTACCGGTTCACACATAGAAACGATACGTATTGCGATATGCTGATCGAAAACCGGTATTTTGACATGCATTCGGAAAACTTCGTAACACTCGGAAATCTTGATGATTGTGGAAAGGGGGTTGGGAATGATCGGGCTGAAAATTACATTTAACTGGATTGTTAAGTTCTTTTCCTTGTTTCATTTGTGCTAAATATTATTTACATTTGTACTTTGTCATCATTAAAAGTTTGTATTAAGGTTAATCAAGCAAAGTGATTTTGTTGTGGTTTTGCTTTATAAATCAAGCATTAACTCGATTATAAGTACTTTTTTGTTGGAAAAAACATCTTGCAATATATTGCAATACATATCGCAATATATGCTTTTGTATCGCAATATATCGCAATATGAAAATTCTCTGCAATACCCACCCCTAATTATTAATATTAGATTGCCGCACCGTACACAATGCAACCTTCGAACTAACTCAAAGTAAAGGGAGGCTGTCTAAACGAAAGAGGACTAAAGGAACAACAACTGAGATAAATACCTTGAATAGTTATGAAAACAAATATTTATCCGATTTTCTGAAAAAAGAGAACAATGCGGACTTGTTTCAACACAGTTATATTGGGTAAATCAGTGATGATAAAATGTTTTAGTTTCATTTATGAATAGCCAACTTTTGGCCGCGAACACCAAGATACGGAAAATTGTTAAGTTATAAAGCGTACTTCCAAGGTGACAATCAGAAATATTTCCGAAATCCCACGAAATAGTTGTTTTAACCATAATTCTAAAGTGGACTATATATGCACTGTCCATATTTACACGAACAAATACAATTTAGAGTTAACCGTGAGCATCTTCGACTTAAATAGGGTTTCACAAAATTATGGACTGTGACCCCATATCGTGTCTAGGAACTTGACGCCTCCCAGGGCACGTGATCACTGTAGCCGTAAAATAGGTCAATTTGCCAGCTTCACCTCACTGTAACGCCCGGAGTCCAGCTTTCTGTTCGTCTGTATATATCACAGTCCTTCTCGTCTCATTTCAACATGTCTGGTGTTGTTCCGGAGTACTCTGTCAGGAAGGCGACTCGCACTGATGTTGCCGCCATAAAGAACCTGATAAACATAGACGAGTGGGAGATTCCAACTGACTTACTGTACTGCACGTTTGATATGGATTCAAGGGCTTGGTTTGTAGCTGAATCCGACTCAGGCGAAATACTGGGTAAGTTTGTGTTGACTGCAATGAAACAAACATTTAGCGTTGCTGGTCCGAAAGTATGTTGCAATCATGATTGGTGACGAGTTGGTGTGTGTGTGTGTGCGCGTGTGTGCGTGCGTGCTTGTGTGTGTGTGTGTGCGTGCGTGCACACATGCGTGCTTGTGTGTGTGTGAGTTTTGATGAGTGGTTTAGGTGCTCTTGTATTGATGAAGAGACGATTATCTTGGTGAGTAAGAAATGCGCACGTGAGAGTCTGCTATATTTTTACCCTTGCCTCAAAACCCGGGCGAACAAAGCAACTGGCAACCGCTAACTGCACAGTCAGCTGTTACGCGCTCTACTTATCTGAATTTATGGCGTCGTCTAGGGCAAGGGGGCGTGAAGGGCTATATGTCCTTTTGTGAAATCAGTGTATAATTTTGTTTTTGTACAAACTACCTTGCACAAAGTTTTATCGGTTTTGTCAGTTACATATTACTTGTATTTATAAACCTATGGCCAATGTTGTCTATTGTTTTTGCAGTTGCTTCGCATTATGGAATAACCTCGGAAGAGGTTTTACAATTGCAGGAGGTTTTACAATGATCACTGTAAAACCTCATGCGAGGTACGAAGTTTTACAATGGTCGTTGTAAAACCTCATACCCTGATATGAGATTTTGAAATGACCATTATTTATGACTGATACAACTTTGTCTTGCTATGACTGATCGTAACATATCTCATTATAGAAAACTTCCAATATTTAGTGGCGATAACTGGTTTCGAACCCGCAACCCATCGCTCTCTAGCTTGGCGGTTTTATCCACTACGCTACGAAGGGTCGCTGTGAAGGATGAGATTGTTTGTCAGTATGAACCATGTGTTTCTCACAAGACAGGTAGCGGGCAGAGCACGTGCAGGACACGGGTAGCGCGTGCAGAGCACGACCATTGCGCGAGCGCGGCAAGGTGTTGGCTGCCAGTCGCATCCCAGTTGACACCGGCTGTTCCATCATTTGCGGGCTGTTCCATCAATGTTGTTCTACTCAGTACATGCACAAATTGAAAATAATACATATGTAATTTTTGTTGTCTTAGACGGTTTATAAGTTTGATAAAAGACTCCCCCTCGGTTTTGGTTGAGAATGTAAAACCTCAGTGTCAGGAAATTTCCTTCCCCTGAGGTTTTACATTCTACACCCAAACCTCGGAGTCGTCTTTTATCCTACACTGACCACATGCAATGACTTCCAGGAGCCCTTATAATCACTACCACCACTATGATTTCGTTTCCTATAACTGTAAAAACAAATGTAGAACAACAATTAAACTTGACTCAAGTCAATCTCGATTACTCACTGTATATTATGTCTATTCTAGAATGATAGAAGCCTTGAGTCATTCCTTGCACATAGCTAAAGCTATTTCATACGTCGATTGGCATGCTATTTGGACTAGATATGCAAACATAAAGTTGACCACTGTTGCCATCGTTGTCTCTTTTGACCAATACCTGTGAAGATCCGGGTTAGAATTGGTCCAGAAGGGGTGACTAACGAGATCTGGTGGTCAGGCTCGCTGATTTGGTTGTCACATGAGATCGATGCTTATGCTGTTGACCACTGGGGTGTCTGGTTCACGCTCGAGTTCTTACAGACCGCCGCCATATACTTAGAGTATTGCTGATTGCGGCATTAAACAACAGACCAACCAAACAAACATCTGACCAAACCCGACCTCGTGGTCATTGCATTGGTTTGACAGTCGAGTATCAAATAGCGCTTTGTCAAAAGGTTTTAGATTTGGACGTGAAAAGTTGTTTCAGGGAGACACAATGGGTAACTATTAGACTAAGGCTTAGTCTCTGAATATGTATAATTTTGGTAGTAACAAACAAGCCCATTTATATTGAAAAGGAGCCCTAGGGAGACCAGAGATCCTGAACCTGTGGAAATCTAGACTTGCTTTATTTAGGGCTTTAGCACTGCAGAGAGGTCTTGGCAGTAGGGAAATTAATGTGGTTCAGGGACTGTGAGACAGACTAGGTAACTATCTTCATGATACTTTGCCTGTTCATGTTATGTACACACCTGCTTATGGAAGTGTATCTCGTCAGTAGGTCACGGTAACCTTGGATTATGGGAAGGTCAGTGTACTTCTTTCACCGCTATCTGTAGCCTAGATGCGGTGTATACTACGTGTCGTACATGTTGACAGACGTTAAAGGTGGTCTGTGGCGAAATGCTGCATCATTACAAAAGAGCCAATTTACTTTTGGGGGAAGACCAGCATGCACCAGCTGTTGTAAATAAGTTTTAGCCTTAAGTCCTCGTGTGTAAGACCAGCATTCACTATTTATCCTACATCAGTTTTAGAATTAATGTCTATTGTGTGTAAGACCATCAACACTTCTAGGAACAATCTTTCTTTTGATATTTTAAAAGACAAAAGTTTATTGGGTAGAGAGCAGAAGCAGGAGTTAATGAAAGACTAAATGTAGAAGTTGGACATGGGATGAAAGCCAGAACTGATACAGGTCCTGCATATTTATCAATTCGTGATATCCACGATCACCAGGGGCATAGCTACCATTATAAAACAGCCCGGGCTTACACATGATTGTTGCTAAAAGGTTGGGCAAGCCCTCAATAATATGTACATATGAAGCCTTGCAACCTATCGGGCTTACACGAAAAACAATTGGCTTGCTACGCGCCTGATCCGTGGTGTGGATCAGACAAAACAGGAACCATAATCAGCACAAACATATATTTAAACCTACGGTCATGGCCATAGACGACCGTAGCTCTACAAATGTTTAACAGATATAGCGGGCGTCACGTATTTTGGGTTTGACTTATTTTCTTGACCTGTGTGAGATAAACAGTCATATATTCAGGCCTTTCCCTCTTATCATACTTGCCAACTCTCACATCTTCATCTCGAGACTCGCGCTTATAGTACTAACGACACCCTCTTGCGAGAAAACTGCAAACAACGCCAAACTGGGTTCATATGAAATATACATTATTTACCCCTTAAAGTCACACAAAACTGAAAACATCGTTTTCACTTACTTCCTTCAGAAGGGAATTAGCAATTATGCGTTGGTTTCATAGCAACTTCGTCCCCGTGGACCAGCAGCCCTTGGACCCAGGTATCTCAGGCATTTGTCTTTCCCGGGGTAGGAGGCTCCGCCGTGTATATAAAAACCTGTGTTTTATAGTCCATAATAATGAAGATGGCAGGCAATCTAACTGGGCGAAAGCCTGTTAATCCATCTGAAAAGTGTCAGGGGTTAAAGTATCAGAGAGTTGTTTCGGCATTACTCTTTATCAGACTCAAAGTGTCAGTAACTCATAGTGCGACTTTACGTTGTATTTTGTAACGTCATAGTCAGAAATATTGAGCAATATGACGGCGTCAGGAAAACGATCACTATCATCACCTTTCCAACGGAGAGCGATGGTAAACCCCCCACCCCCCAACCCTCGTGAAGATCTGGGTTAGAACTGGACTTAAGAGGCGACTTACTGAATCAGTTGGTCAGGCTTGTAGATTCGGTTGATGCACGACATCGTATCCCATTTAGTAGAACTATGCTCAAGCTGTCAATCACAAGACCGAGGTCACGTAGCCCGTAACATAATGGCATCAGCGGTAAACAACGGTCAAACCAAACGTCAAAGATTTCTCAGCAAGCCTGACAATCAGGTTCATTACGTAGACTAATGGCAACTCGTGACTGTAGTTAAACAAATGCATGTAGTATTATATGTATAAACCAAAGACTTTTCACCAAACATCAATCTCATGTTTTTCAAGATATATGCCCCTGGTAGGGTGATCTACCCTCAGCTGCTGGCGATCTGTAACTCTATTATATATTGTATTGTTCTGCACGGGATCGGGTGGTCAGTCTCGCTGACTTGGTTGACACATGTCATCGGTTCCCAGTTGCGCAGATCGATACTGATGTTGTTGATCACTGGATTGTCTGGTCCAGATTCGATTATTTGCAGACCGCCGCCATATAGATGGAATATTGCTGCGTAAAATTAAACTCACTCACTCTCATCATCATATGGCTGAAATGTTGCCGATGTGACGTTACATTTTACTCACTCACTATACCTTGTGTTTGTTTCACAGGTTGCAGGGTTTTGGTGTATTTCAACGAGGAGACAGTAGCTGGTGGTATCTATCTTATAAGGAAAGACCTCAGAGGAAAAGGAGTGGGACGTAATGTGAACCTGCAATCCCTCAAGGCAGTGGCTGACGCCAACATCATCATTTCAGCCACCTACGTAAACCTGTACGACACCCATGGCTTCACGTTCTACTATGACGTACACCTAAGGCGTGGACCAGTGGAAGTCATCTTGGGGGCCATTCCTAAAGCAGGAACGACCTTGGGTGTCACTACAGTCCCCTATGAAGAGGCCATGTTTACGGAGCTGAGTGCGTACGATGAGAAGGTATCTGGAAGTGAGAGGGACTATTTCTTGAAAAACTGGATCATCAGCCATGCAAAGAACATTCTCATTGCTCGATCAGATACCGGACGTGTAGTCGGATACGGATGTTTGCGGGAGACGGAATACTGCAATGAGATTGCACCGTTGTATGCTGATAGCGAAATCATTGCGTGGGCACTGTTGAAACAACTCTTGCAACACCTGGATCCAAAAGACACCGTTCATCTCTTTATCATATCAGAAAATACACCAGCAATGGAGAGTATTGGCAATGCTCCTCTGACAAACGTTATAACTCTTCATAAAATGTACAGTAAACAAATGGTGCCCCGAAACCTAGAACGCTTGTATTCCTTGTCCGCCATTTCATTATCTGTTGTATGAAACATTTCCACTCCAATATTTAAGCGTGTCTCCATCCTCTTCTAGATGTGAGCCTACATCATCAGGACTCTGCCTTAATGTTGGGATGTACAAGGCAATGTACGTATATCACACGCAACAAAAATACAAATCTGATGTGAGAAAAAATTGAAATGATATATTTGCATCGATTGTAATAAAATCAATCTCAAGTGTAAACATTGGAAGTGTACTCCAAAGTTTTCATCGTAATAAAATAATATCAAATTTATAGTGTTGTTACGATGCAGTGATGTCCACAGTTTGTTGTAACAGATTACAGGGAAGAATAACATTGGCAGTCCGGTTTTATCCCGGCTGGCCCTACATTAACCACTCATCCACTAAAAGTGACTGTACAGCTGTACCTCCCACGAGAGACATATTGATATGATCTACAACTCTACGTTTCATGGTTTGTTTATGCTTAACGTCGAACAACCTGAATTTATCAGGTAGTTTGTGTCGAACAAAGGGCAGATTTACTCCGATTGTATGTTGTATCAACGTCATATAAAATAACCATGCAAAGTTATTCCATCCACTGACATACATTCCTATGTCAAGTGGAAAAAAATGGGTACTTGTTTTTATAAACATTTTGGACCAATGCACATGGTTGGCTCTGCATACAAAAGCTTCCTTACAAAGAACCATTTCACAGAATATGACGTTGAATGAAGGCTGCGGGAAACCCTTATCTCCACCATCTATGTATGGCATGTAGCGATTGTCACCCTCATACAGTAATCACTACTTGAGGTGCTTACCTGTCAATTCATTGGTTGAAATAATCAGTTAAGCAAACATATGGACTATTTCGGGGAGGAGACGTTCATCACGTTCACCATTATCAGCTGAACCACTATTATCACCATGTACGACAGTGGAACAGCAGAGGACTTCGGAACAATAGTAACGATTTGCAATCATTATCACAAGATTTGAAGCCATCAGCAGTTTGCTTTCAGGGAACATACTTAAAAAGACAGATCAACTGAAAATCAGACATTCTAATAATTGTCATTTGGTTTCACCTCTAGGGGCTAAGGCACTGGAAGTTCTTCAGTTTTCCCGAGGCAGGGCATTATTCATAGTCCTGTCTTTCTCAACCCAACCATTCACTCTTCGTAACACGTGTACCTTACACATTGTTTCGACGATGTGCTTTCTTTACATTACTCCACCCTATTCTCTTCAGCAAAATGACTTTCAAACACTCTATGATAGGCGTCAAAAACCTTTGCTAAACCCCACCAAATACGTGGACCCATTGGCTTGAAATCTCTGCCATATAACACACTGACACACTGAAGCGGACAGCAATCTGTCGCTGAGTTTGACCAGATTCCAAGAACGCCTATAGCCTGACCCCGTTCTGCAAGTGTCCAAAACGTCTCATTTTAAGCTGCGATTTCAAACAGGTGCATGTGTATTGCCCTCCACACTCCATAGAAAGAGCCACTTGCACGTGCAAATCATTGACATTAAGTGGCAGGTGGATTTCCATATTGACACTCTGAATAAACAATGTGCCATTTGTAACAAAATATATCGAACATTAAAGAACTTAATGACATTTCAACGGCCTGGCGTGTTTTTTCCCTGATGTTAAGAAAGTTTGTAAAACATTCAGGTTACAACGTAATAGTAAACACTACACATATAGCTTGTCAAGTTGCTGTCCATTGTACATGGCAGCTCTAGTATTCCAAGTACCAACACTAAACATAAGAATCAGTGTAAAGACGATTGTCATTTTGTCAGTAAGAGTCATTAATGTCTGTGGTACAGTCCTTGGCCGAAATCCGGGCTCTGCTACTTTCTCTACTGATCTATTGTCTACATTTATGCGAACAGTGTATTTACAGTTATATCCCTCCCACTTTTTAAGGAGGGTTGTGATTTGATATGAACATCGCGCTTCTTAGCATAAGCTGCTATAGAATCCTTAACAATTTCAAAGGATTTGTCGGTGCTTACACAAGACAGAACATACCTCTTGCGTCTAACTTCGGGGGACGTTCCCTGGAAGGTTTTGGAACTTAACTGGCGTTTTAAGAACATCAGCAAATGTTAGCTCTGTATCTTTACCTTCCTTATTTGGGTGTAAAACTTATGTGTCCGATTTTGTCATATCTCTAAATTGAAAGTTGATGTTGTCTACTCTGTTTCTCTGTCTATACATGCGATACCTCTTCTGTGGGTGTTTTTATTTAATCCCTCAGAAGAGTCCTGATCTCCTGCCTATGGTACTAGTATTTGTACATCACCTCTTAGTTTTATTTCCACATTATGTGTTCTCTCTATTCCCCTTTCAGCCTTTACCAAGTATTTGTTTCTCTCTTCTAAGGCACACTTTACTCTCCTCATCGTCAAACTTCCCATCATTCTTCATGTCAATATCGTACGAGTTCTGTTTCATTCGATCGTTTAGTTCCATTACCTATAACACTATGAATCCGATGGCATCTTTCATTGTGAGCGACTTCATGATATCCTCCTCTCCATCCTCTTCTCTGTGTTGATTTTCCCCGTGGTCCTGTTCTTCTCCTTGCTTAGAATATTGGGTAAAAACAAACTTCGTGAAATTAAGATAGGGCGGTTTGAGCAATATTTCAGCAATAACACGGCGGGGGACACCAGAAATGGGCTTCACACATTGTACCCATGTAGGGAATCTAACCCGGGTTTTCGGCGTGACAAGCTAACACTAACCACTAGACTACCCCACGGCCCATAAAGTACTGTAAGTCCTCATGGTCCCTAGCATGGCGACCTTGCTGGTGATCTATAGCCCGTTTTTATATTGTATTGTTAAATATGATGACATCCTTTGTTGACAGTTTTTAATTTGAAATGTATTGTTTAAATATGTCGTACTACAGTATAGCTTCATCAAGTAACAATATGGACCACTCAGATAGTAGTCAAGGCAATGCCATTCACCCCATCTTTTAATACAGAATACATGGAGCAGACATACGCAGTTGGGGGAAAACAGTTCCAAAGATTTGTATGCTACCCATTAAAAGTTTAGACTCACTTAAAGCACTCACTAAATGTTTTGTATATATATGTGGTTACATCGAAGATGAAATTCTCCACTCACTTTGGGGAACTAACTGCAAACCTTATGCAGATGAATTGCATGAGGATCATGCATCAAATTGCTGAAAAACATGTGCAAATATCGTGCATGTGAACAGCTGCGTTTTGGTGTAAAGTTTTGTTAAGAATCCATCAATTTTCAATGAGTTTCATCATTTATTGAACTCATGGCAATAATCTTTTTAACGTTACGAATTTGTTTTACAATACATCAGTTCATGTGTAAACAGTAGCTTTACACGGTATGGGATATTTTGCAAAATCTAATTTAGAACAGTTGACTGAAGTAAGTGTCGACATTTGCACTAGCGTGTCTAAACTTTTGATGGGTTGTAAGTATATTTCACATCTATGCACCAAGTAGAAACATCTTGATCCCTCTGAGGCGATTTCCTGTGTCCACCCCTGTGTTATGCACAGTTTCTCACTGCAAGACTCCAGTAGGCGTGTCCCTTGCCTCTCTGTGACGCGGGTACGTCCAGGTACCCGGATTTTGAAAGGTCACACAATTCCCTCTCGATAACTGCCTCATAAGTTAAACAAGTAAAGGTCTTCTCTCTAATGCACAAATCAGAACATTCAGTTGTAGGGCTTGCTAATATGTCATTGTTCTTTAATATAAAAAGGCCTCGGTATGTCGTGAATCCGTCACCATATGTACTGCAGCCTGGGGAATAGATTGTCAGACACCTTATATTATTGCAGCCTGGGGAAATAGATTGTCAGACAACGTATGGCATTGCAGCCTGGGGAATTGGAAACGTATATGATTTAGACACGCGGTAATGTAGACGATAAAATATAGGAAAGGAGAAAAAGTAACTTTTGTACCCAATATTTAAGTGAGATAAACGCCACTAACACCAATATTATGTTTGTCTGACTAGGTGAGCTAAGACAAAACAAAACAAACTAAACGGTGGGCGAGACCAGTAAATATCCAGTATGTCGCCGCTACATAAGGGCACCAGCCACAGAGCGCTGTTTAAAGCCTGTCACTTCAATACTGACTTACGTCTTATACAACTGTTGTTGGCAGGGTTGAAGCTGTACCCAGGTATACACTTGCAGGTCTTCGTGAAGCACACAAACTTCCTGACTGATGAACAGTCCGAGTCCGTTAAGCAGCTCGACTCCAGGGTACTGCTGACAGTGGAACCTTGGAACTTCGGCTGCATTTCATCTTAGCGACACAGGACATAGATTAATTGTATACACTTTAACAGATTCTTTTGTGACATGGTATAATTGTGTAGTGGAACAAGACTAAATGGAAATGAAATTATTGTATTTCAATGTAATTTGTAACGGAATTGTCGAACACATTGCCAACATATCCAGCATACCAACTGTAAGTCCACATGGTCCCTAGTATGGTGGTCTTCCTTCAGTTGTTTGCGATCTCTAGCCTGTTCATATATTGTCTTGTCATTTATAGTTAAAAATGTTTAGATTGAATTACTAGTTTTGAATTTATTTCTTTGATAATCTAGTTGTTTTAATGTCCTTTCCACACAGGTAAGTATACTTCCTAACTTCGTTTTCATTCGTCAGCAACAACTTCTACACAAACATCTTCAGTTACAACCTCACCAGGAACCATCAACTACTTGATCTCCTTCGGTGTTAACACCACGGTCATCTACACCCTCACTATCACCCCCGGTGTCAACACCACACTCATCTACACCCTCACTATCATCCTCGGTGTCAAACACCAAACTCATCTACACCCTCACTAGCACCAACAGTGTCAGCATCACACTCATCTACACACACACTATCACCCAGGGTGTCAGTACCACACTCATCTACACCCTCACTATCACCCTCGGTGTCAACCACCACACTCATCTACACCCTCACTATAACCCTCGTTGTCAGCATCACACTTATCAACACCCTCACTATCACCCTCAGTGTCAGCACCACACTTATCTACACCCTCAATATCACAACCAGTGTCAGCACCACACTCATCTACACCCTCAATATTACCCTCGGTGTGTACCATCAAACTCATCTACACCCTCACTATCACCCTAGGTGTCAGCACCCCACTTATCTACACCCTCACTATCACCCTTGGTGTCAGCACCACACTCATCTACACCCTCACTA